TTAGTACCACTCAGCCTTTAACCATTATGTCAGACAATCGTCTACCTGCAGGGTTTAACATAAGGTTCCTTTCTGAGCTTATTTCGGGGACGTCATCAATCCAGCGCACTGAACATATTGACTGTAAATAATCTATAATAGCACATCATATAATTATTCTTACTTACCAAAATACCTCGTATGTCATCCTAACAGAATAGGAATCACTTGGTAAATCAAATAAATAAGAAATAAAAATATATGCCTATTTTATATTATCTTACAGCTTAAGAGAACGCATCAATCACTGAAGGTCTAGGTTACGACAACGGTCCGTGAGTCTCATATCCTTATCCTTCCGTGGTCCTGTTCAACACTTAACATAAGTGCTAGTGTAATCCTTCAGTCAAAGACCAACTAAATCGGGAATACACTACAGTCTTTATCCAAGTGGGGTCTCACTGCCAGTCTAGACTGTGAACGAATAGTTTAGTCTTATAAGGAACCGATAGGTGATCTTTCCGTTCGAAACTCTTCGAACCACACTATCTCAATATAAGACATGGAGTATGTATTGCATAAATAAATAAACTGCAAACATATGTACTTTGACCGAAACATGATTGCCAGATCAAAATGGAATTGATAGAAACTGCAAAACACAGCTTTTACAGCATACCTCTAACATACATAGCATAGCATGACATGATACATACCTTAAACATGGTACCGTAATTATAATCAATGTAATACCCAGTATGAGTCCCTACCAAATCCGTCGATATGAAAAGGTAGTGCTGATAATCGTAGCCTGATCAAACTGAAACATAATATAAACAATTACTAAGTACTATGCTCAGACTGATTAAATAGTTGTTTAATGTGTTAAGATGGTCAACTGGAACTTGACATGATTTTTATGCTTAACCGGTATAACCGGAATCGGTTTAACATGGAACTGGACTGACATGAATTTACTGAACTGTACCGGACTTGTAATTTAACTGAAAATGGGACATAAACATGAACCGGAACATAATACATTGATCCTAGCATTTAACC